GAGTTGTGGTGCTGGTGAAGAATGCTGAAAGTACCGTGGACTGCTAAAAGAACTAACAGATCTGTCCTGGAGGAAGTGCACCCGAAATGCTCCTTAGAAGTGAGAATGGCCAGACTTGTCTCACCTATTTTGGTCATATTGTCAGAAGGCACCACTCCCTGGAGAAGGATTTTATGCTTGGTAGGGTGGAGGGTTGATGAAAGAGGGGGAGGCCTTCAACAAAATGGATTGACACGGTGGCTGTGATGATGGGCTCAAGTATAGCAGGGATGATGGAGCTGGCACGGGATTAGGCAGTGTTTCGTTCTGCTGTGCATGGGGTCACTATGAGTCTGAAATGACTCGACAGCACCTAACAACAACAACAATCTATGATGAGGGGAGCTTTTGTCATCCTTCCCATTCAATAGTTCTACTCACCGCTACCCTGCTTCTCTGTGCCTTCCTTTGTCCTCTGTCAATGATGGTTACTTGATTCCAAACTTGATGCCATTGCCCTCCTAATGTTGAGACTAGTGCTGAGAGACACTGATGGAGACTTCTAAATCCCCAGCCCAGTATTTGCTATTGCCTTTTGGTCTCACAAGGATATGATCATTAATTCTTACTCTGTCAACATTGCCCAGTTTTCCAAAACTGGAAGTAATGGCCATTGTTACTTCCATCTTAACAAGATTATATGGGGGGAAATAAGCCCATCAATAAATAACCAATATTCCCAAATAAAGTGGAGGAGTTCCATGGTCTGAAAAGTTCCTGATATCTCTGCATACATTTGAGTGTGTATGTGTTCAGGGTGTATGGCAGGCCAGCCTTGCCCAGTATATGGCTCCACTGGTTTGTATGTGAGAGAACGTGTCTGGTCAGCATGTAGAGCAAGCTAGTTTGTGTTCATTTATGAGGACCACTTGAGGAGGTGGCTTCCAGAGGCAGACTACTCACCAGAGAATAGAGTGCCAGGTTGTCACACTCTCCTGTGAGAAGACATGGATAGGTGGATGTGTTGAAATCTCTGTTCAATAGGATTCCCCCAAGTCCCCAAGTCATAGCTACCTTCCTTTTCCCTCCTCACCTCTTTCTTGCCTCAGATATATGCCATCACACTTCTACCTACATAGTAAATTCAAAATTATTTAACACAGGAGATTATGAAACTGTTCAAGACATTTTAAAGAATTGGTGTTTAAATTATGCCACATTTTTAATTATCTCCCTAGTTTAGATTTTGGTTCAACAACTTGTCAGGTAATTTCCCCAAAACATGTCTATTTCAGATCACTCACAACAGAGGCTTATGGAAGCTCTCAAAAATCAGGTTGCACTTGATTACTTTTCTCTTCTCCATCACCAGTTGACCAAACCCAGTAATACCTTCCACTAACCAAGGCTCCAGCAATGAGATCAAAAGCCTGGAGTAGCAGACCCTCATGGCTATTTTGGTTCACACTATGCATTGTTGCCCAGATAAAAATAGCATCTTGTCTGCTGTCATTTATCATAGTGGAAATTTTTTTTTAAATTATACCATAGGTTTTGTTTGTTTGTTTTTAAGAAATAAACACACACACACACACACACATGCACATAGAATCATCTCTAAAAGTGATTTTGACATGCATTTTAAAATATACATTTTATGTGTTAAAGGCTAGGATAACTATGAAAAAGAAATTAACTCACTTTTTGTCTTCAAACACTAATGTTCTTGTCTGGGACACAAACTTATAAGCTATCCTTAAGGGAATGTACCTCCATTTCCCAATTGGCAAGTGAGCTGGCTGTCCAGGTTAGTTGATAGTAGAAGTGGTTGTTCATGTAATCCTTGCAGCAGTGACAGGTGCCTGGCTACTTGTAAAGGATATACCCTGTTGGGAGCTGTGTGGATGAGCCCTCTGTCACTGTTCATTCCCGGATGGGGCATTCCTTTCCCCCATGGATTCCCCAGTACCAATGGTCTCCATCCCGCATACATACTCAAATTCTGTTGAGGGGGATGAAATTCAGCATTTCTCTTTCAAAGACAAGGCTGGAAACACTATAGACTTATTCACAAGTGCTTATAAATAACATGGGAAAATAATCCTGAGACCCTAAAGTCCTTTTTGAGCCTTTGAAATTACACTGATGTTGAAAAATTAAGGGTCCTGATCTCACAATTTTACTTCAGAAAGTATAAAGAGGGTATGAAATTTATGAGGAATCTGATATGGATAAAATCATAGAATATTAGAGCTGGGAGGAACCTGTGAGAGCTAGTCAACCAAACCAAGACCAAACCCTCTACCATAAAGTCAATTCCAACTCATAGTGACCCTACAGGATAGAGTGACTAGAACTGCTCCATAGGGTTTCTAAGGCTGTAAATCTTTATGGAGCAGCTGGTGGTTTCAAACCACCAACCTTTTGGTTAGTAGCCAAATGCCTTAACCACTACACCACCAGAGCTTCATCTAGTCAACACTTTCTCTTTTTTATAACCCAGAGAGGGTAAATAGTGTATTGCTCAAGGTCTGAGTCTCCTTTTATCAGAGAGTGTTAGATTCAAAAGGTTAGACTTCTGGTACTAGATCCTAACAGATAGCCTCATGGTGAATGTTGTGGGTCACATTTTATCTGAAAATGTTATCAATCAGCTTCTTCAAAGTCTCCTTGAAGGCCCTTAAAGAAATCAAGAGGAAAAGACATGGTTCTCTATTTCAAACTCCGATCTGGTATAATTATATTTACACCCACCCCACCTCACCCCACCCCTGAAAAGTGATTTAACTGATTTCCTGTGGGGTTATTCTGTGCAGTTATTCTGGCTTTCATCCTTGCATCCCTCACTTTCAGAGCCTTGTCCATGTGTTGTGCAGGAGAATGCTAACAGCAGACATAATTTCCAAAACGAAACAAAAGACTCCAAAGACATCACTTAAGAACATAACAGAAGGTAGTGTGATGTTTCAACTTCAATCACTTTAGACCACTGTTCAAAGGCATGGCGCCTAAGACATTTGACTGCTGACCAGAAGGTTGGCAGCTCAAACCAAACAGCCACTCTGCAGAAGGAAAATGGGACAATTGACTTCCCTACAGATCTAACACCTCCAAAACCCAATGGGGGTCACTACGAGTCAGAATCGACTTGACGGCAGTGAGTTTGTTGTTGTTGTTGTTGTTGTTGTTTGGTGCAAAGAAAGACCATTAATCCACACACATCAACAGAATGGAGGACTCACTGTGCAGAGGGTGAGTGGGGGCAACTTGGTCTACCTGGGTCTACTTTTCCTTCCACAACCAACAAAGAAGGGATTCCCATTGGCTACAAGCCTCACTTAAGGAACTCTGGTAGTACTGTGGTTAAAGAATGAGCTGTTAACCAAAAGGTTCACAGTTCAAACTCACCAGTTGCTCTGTGGGAGAAAAACAAGAGTCTGTTTCCATAAAGATTTACGGCCTTGGAAAGTCTACAGGGGTTTGTCATGAGTCTGAATCCACTTGATAGAAGTGGGTATAAGCCTAAGATGAATGATAGTTTGAAATAGATTAGTTGATGTGATATTTAGATAACTTGAACTCTGAACCTTAAGTGCATAAGAACAGAGGTGTCCCTAAAGGTGGATTGTTGGTTCTAGAGTCACCTGTATAACACTATGATCTAACAGGAACAGTAAGCTTGCCAAGAAACCCTACAGAAAGTCCTCTTGTCTTCTTTCTGACCAGGTACTACCTTGAAGCCATCCAACATAGGACCTCTAGGCATACCACTGGCACAAAACAATTTATCAGTTCTAAAGATGGTTGTTGTTAGGTGCTGTTGAGTTGACTCAACTCATAGTCAATGACATGCAACAGAACAAAACACTGCCCAGCCCTATGCCAGCCTCACAATCCTTGCTATACCTGAGTCCACTTTTGTAGCCACTCTATCATTCAATCTCATTGAAGGTCTTCCCCTTTTTCACTGACCTTCCCCCTTACCAAGCATGATATCCTTCTCCAGGTGCCTTCTGACAACCTGACCAAAGTAGGTGAGACAAAGTATGGCCATTCATGCTTCCTAGGAGCATTCTGGCTGCACTTCCTCCAGGATATTTTTGTTTGCTCTTCTGGCAGTCCATGGTATTTTCAGTATTCTTCATCAACACCACAACTCAAACACATCAACTCTTCTTTGGTCTTCCTTATTCATTCAGTGTCCAGCCTTCACATGCATATGAAGCTATTGAAAATACCATGGTTTAGATAAGGTGCACCTCAGTCTTCAAAGGGCCATGCCACTGGTGTTTTAAATCCAGAGGGGTGCACATGGTACACAGGCTTGCAGACTGAGACAAACTAGGAAGAAGGAACAGGCCATCCACTTCTCAAAGAATTGGCCAGGGAAAACTTTATGAATAGCAGAAAAACACTGTCTGATACATTACTGTGCAACTTTATGAATAATCCAGAAACATTGCCCAATACAAAGGAGGATGAGTCACTTAGGTTAGAAGGCTCTCAAAATAGGACTGAGAAAGAGCTGCATCATCAGAGTAAAACCAGCCTTACTCATATGGATAAGGTAAAGCTTTGGAGACCTCCATTTGCTGACGTGGCACCACTCAAATTGAGGAGAAAAAGCTGCAAACATCCATTAATAATCAGAACATGGAATGTATGAAGTATGAATCTATGAAAATTGGAAGTTGTCAAAAATGAAATGGAATGCATTGATATCCTAGGCATTAGTGAGCTGAAATGGAATGGTTTGGGCCATTTTGAATCAGTCAACCATATGACCTACTATGCCGGGAATGACAGTTTGAAGAGGAATGGCATGGCATTCATGATTACAAAGTATGTTTCAAGATCTGTCCTGAAGTACAGTGTTGTCAGTGATAGGATATTATCCATAAACCTACAAGGAAGACCCAGTAATATGACAATTATTCAAATTTATGCATCAACCACCAAAGCCAAAGATTGTCTGAATTTTATCAACTTCTGCAGTCTGAAAATGACAGAACATGCAATCAGGATGTGTTAATTATCACTGGTGACTGGAATGCAAAAGTTCGAAACAAAAAAGAATGACCAATAGTTGAAAAATTTGGTGTTGGTGACAGAAATAATGCTGGAACTCACATGGTAGAATTTTGCAAGACCAATGACTTATTCATTGCAAACACCTTTTTTCAACAACACTGACGATGGCTGTACATGTGGACTTCACCAGATGGAACACACAGGAATCAGATTGACTACATCTGTGGCAAGAGGTGGTGGAAAAGCTCAATATCTTCA